CTTGATAATTTATAAATTATTATTGTATCTTATATTACACTGTCCGGCGTCTCCCTTCACCCACCCCTCTGCTGCCCGTCCCCCAGAGAGGAGGTTATATGTAGCTCCCTGTGATTCTTTATGAGAGTAGTAAGCCCTGTCTTCCTCAGAGCAGTTGGTAGTTTCAAACTGTTGGCCTTTCAGTTAGCTGCCCAACCCATAGCCACTGCCCCACTTGATGGCAGTGCGTTTTTGTTTGTTTTGGTCCAGGGACTACTGCTTATTGTGCTGTTCTCATGGAGAGTTTTGGAAGTACCTGTAAAGTGATATGCTTTATAGAGTCTTAAAAAGGGTGAGCAAATGGTTAAGGTTGTACTGCGTGGTAGAAACAGTCAAAGGCTTGACCAGTAACTGAAAGTTTGGTGCTTTGAGACCCTCAAAGGTACCTCAAAAGAGAGACTTGGTGATCACCTTCCGAAAGATCACGGCCTTGAAAGTCCTGTGGAACAATATACTTTGTCCATCTAGCACGAGGCAGAATCGTATTGATGACAACTGAAAAGCATACCGAAAAAAATTGGTTTAAAAACCTTTCGTAATGCTTATAATTTAGTCAAATTAGAAATGATATTAATTTATTTTTAATTATGAGTAAGATGTCAAGGTTTTTGTCTACATAAAAATAAAAATATCTTGCTTTAGACCTTGCACTAAAGTCTTATTAACCACCCTTAAGTAAATGATATTCTCCTGATTTAACCTCAATAACTCTTAAGCTTTTCCAGATCAAACTCAGTGTCATCAAGTCGATTGACTTACAATGACCCCATATGACTGGGTAGAACCGCCCCTGGGGATTTACCAGAGTAGCTGATGGGGCGGGAGGCGGGGTTGGGACTGCTAATCTTGCAGTTAGCAGCCCTTCTCTGATGCGAGGAGTAGACTGCCAGATGTGAGTCAGAGGAGGGTGCAAGGACTAACCCTTTCTTCATGCAAAATGTTCAATGTTCAATATGTAGATGAGATCAAAGCAGAGCTCCTATTGAGTAGTTGGTTTAAGAGCTTTGGGGCCCTCCTAGTTCTGCCACACCCATGGCCTTCCTCAAGCCCCAGGAATAGGGGCCCGTCTGCAGAACTGCCAAGTGAAAGTTGAAAGTCATGAAGTTTCTTCCGGTAGTTAGAATTTATATATTTCGTCCAAAGAAAAAAAGGAGAAAACCTCATTCACCAGAGCACACCTTGTCCTACAGCAACCAAGGGAATTATGTTTAGAGCTGAGCAGCAGTTCTCAACCTGTGGGTTGCAGCCCCTTTGGGGGGGGTTCAAACAACCCTTTTCAGGGGTTGCCCAATTCATAACAGTAGCAAAATGACAGTGATGAAGTAGCAGCGAAAATAATCTCATGGTTGGGGTCACCACCACATGAGGAACTGTGTGAAAGGGTTGCGGCATTTGGAAGGTTGAGAACTGCTGGAGAAGAGCGAAGGATCACGTGTGAATTCTGAGGGTTTGGGCACAATGGAGCCAGTATTATGAGTGAAAACGGACAAGACTTGTTTCAACGTGGTCAACTTGCCAACACCTATGACTGAGCCCTCCACCTTGTCTTTCAGATCATATAACCATGACTTCCAAGGATCCCCAGTGGGTAGGGGCCTGGTGGCTTGGTTATCTAATCGCAGGAATGGTAAGTCTTCTGGCAGCTGTACCTTTCTGGTTTTTACCAAAGACTCTACCAAGATGTTGTGGTCAAGAAAATTGTCATTCCTCCTCTGAGAAATCCAAGTTCATCACAGACTACCAAACACCCTGTGGAGAAAAAACAAAAATAGTAGAAATGGCAAGAGGTGAGTCGGATTCTCTATGATTGTGAAGATCTTTCCGTTTTCCTGTGGGCACTTTGGGGGAGGGAGGGCATGGACAATAGTAGACTGCTCCCTTGTGCGGATTCTGAACAAATTGAGGAATCATATCCATAGAAAGCAGACACAGAGATCAAAAAGTCAGTTTTATAACTGGAAAATTGATGGAAGATCGTGATAGTCTTGATTACCTTCCCTATTAACATTTCCTTCCTTATACCACCTCAGTGTAGAAAGCAATTGCCCCTAGCTAGGATCCCTGCCTCGAGTTAGTCTAGGAGAATAGGCAAGAAAACAGTGAAACTTAAAGGTTTGTGGCCTTTTGTCAGATTGAGATCCATCCATCAAAAAATGTGAACCGATACATCCCCCCTATCCCCAATCAACTGAGTGGCCGTGTCATGAGGCAAAAGACCAGAAATGCATGTATTCCTCAAGTGAATTCCTTCCATGTGAAAATAACGGCCAAGAAAAAAAGCGTTTAGCACCAATCTTTAGCAAATTAAATTTACGTCCATAGAAATTCTTGAGATTCTGTTTGGCTGTGTATAGAACAGTAAGAACAGAGAATCTCAAAGCTCATTTTAATGCCCGGTTTCAAATACTAAATGGAGGTAACATTTGCATTCCTTTCCCTGTAACTATGCCTCCAAATTGGAAACTAGGAACCAGAAATCTGAAATGCTTCTTGTCCTGCCTATGGCTTTTAGCTGGGTACTGAAGGGGTGGTTTCCTTTCTCTTGTTTTTCTCCTGCTCAGTTAGGACTCTGTTCCTCTCTTTGACATCTCTCGTCATAGGCTATATTTTTGCTTACAGAGTGAATATATGCCTCAATCATGCAGCCATGAAGTGTGCCAATTACTTACTATTGGTGGTGTGTCTGCATGTTGGTAATGTGGTGCACTGCTACCCATAAGATCAGCAGTTTGAATCCACCAGATGCTCTTCAGGAGAAAAATGAGGCTTTCTACTTCCATAAAGAGTTACAGTCTCAGGAACTCACAGGGACAGTTCTACCCTGTCCTATAGGGTTTCTGTGAGTCAGAATTGATGACTGTGATATCACAGTTGAGCTCAGCAAGGTAAACCTTGTGGCTAATGTCATTTCGGCTAATTTTGACACTGTCCCTTAATGACTTCACACGCTTTTTGTATTATAGATTTTCTTCCATCACTGAAGAATGTTTTTGGAAATCCAGTGTACTTCCTATACTTATGTGCAAGCTCTGTTCAGTTTAATTCTTTATTTGGCATGGTGACATACAAACCAAAGTACATTGAGCAGCAGTATGGACAGTCAACCTCCAAGGCCAACTTTGTCATTGGTATGAGCATCCACCCTTCATGATTTCCAGTAGACACCATTTTAGCTGTTTCTTACTAATCCTTTGTAGCCTAGAGAAAGTTCGCCCAATATATAGACCAAATGTAGCTTAGGTAGCTAGATAAGGATTTTAAAAGGATGTGAAAAACATTTAGCAGAATAAAATAGTTAGGTTCTCTCTAGTGCATATTTATTGTAAGAATCATTCATAATCATGGATGAATGACTCAGAAAGGACACAGTCCTTGAAGACGCAATATCATAGAGACAAAAGATATATTTTATAAAGAGGTTATTATACTGATACTGAATATTTGGCTTTCCAGTCTAGCCAAAACCTCATCTTGTTAGTTGCTTTACCCAAGCAATTTCTAGTATGCCTGAAGCAGCCATCCAGACAGATTAAAATGCATTCTTTGAAATATATGTATATATATTTCATTTCATGGATATATATATCCAATATATATCCATATATATATATTTCATTTCATGGATATATATATATACATCCATTTTCTCAAAATCAAGATTTTTCTGACTTCTAAGAGTTGGGTACTATGAAAAGGACATGAACCTGAAGCAATAGTACAATCAAAATGAGAAAGGTATTCACAGGCAAGCTAAAGCTAATGTGTTAGACAGGGTTCTCTAGAGAAATAAAACCAGAATGCTGATAGTTTATAGATAGATAGATAGATAGATAGATAGATAGATAGATAGATAGATAGATGGATGGATGGATAGATAGATAGATAGAGAGATAGATAGAGAGGCTCGCTGAGCCATTTATCTCTCCACCCTTCAATTAATCCCACATATGGGTGGGGGGGATTAAAAAGGGGGAATTGGTCGCAGTGATCTACATATAACCTCCTCTCTGGGGG